TAAAATTACTGTAAGCATTGTGATACGTCAGGCCGGCCACCGATTTTATATATTGTGTGATAAAAGCTATTGTCGCAGCTCGACAATACAAAACGAATTGAACCTCGATTTTGATTGGCTGTACGATGTAAAGATTCTTTTTAAAATTTAATTCTTTTTTACATTTCTAGTGATGGTTCCTCAATTACTACTGGGCAAAAACAATATTTTTTTTTATTTTAATCATAAAAGTTGTAGAATGAAAATAAATAAAAAATTATTGAAATTAGCCTTGTAGTTGTTGAGAAATATTCATATATATTTAAAAAAAAATGTAGGAAAAGGTTTCAATCATAGTTTTTAAGATTCAATCAATAATTTCTCAACAACTACCATACCAAATTCAATAAATATTTTTTTATTTAAATTCTACAGATCTGTAGAATTTAAATAAAAAAATTTTCATCATATTCTATTAGGTGGTTGCCGAGATATCTTCATTTAAATTTCAAAAAAATTTGCTGCAGCTTCTATTTGATATACTGTACATTCTAAATCTTTAACCAGAAATTCGTTCTATATGAATTCAAAAATATTTGAAGAATTTATTTCTTAATGCCAAACTCATATTAAATGCAATTATTGGAATTGGTAAAGATCATTGGATCAGAAAATGTTATGATTAAATTTGCCAATATATCTTTAACAGAATATATGTTATACTTTGTAATTTATATCAAGATGGTTTAAAACAACTTGGCTCTTATAACTATGGAATTAGGTATGTGATTTAAATTCAAGCTTTAAATTAAAAAAAAATATATATATATTTAATATAGATACAGTATATTTTAATTTATTCATAGATTTTTTAGTGGTACTGTTCAGTTATGTTTCATAATAATTCATTGAAGAATTGAACATATATATGCAGGACGAAATTTTTTCAATCCAGTTGCGGCAAACCAATTGTATAATAAATTTTTTAATTGGGATCAAATTAATTTAATTTCAATGACTAGCTTTTTAGAAAGAGACTTTATTTGTTTTAGGGCCTAATCTGAATTGAATAAAAGTTTAAAGTGAGAGAGAAGCTTTACAAGTGCAAATAAGTAATATAAATTGCTGCAAATGTAAAATTGCCCCGCAGAAGGAGCTGTCATCCCAATAATCATGATTGTAATAATTAGTGTAATTAGAATATATATAAATGGCTTTGCAATATATTGCCATTTAAATTGAATTTAATCGCTTTTAATATGAAATCAAATATACGTGAAAAATTAACTTTAAGTTGGTTTGAAATTTTTTTAACAATTTTAGATTTAAATTTTGGTTTTTAACTTAAGCATGTTTAGAATTAATTTAAATTGATTCTAAACTACTAAGATTCTATTTTTATATACAAAATTGGCAAGTCTTTGTAAAGCACATTATGTTTGTTATGAAGCCTTTTGTGAAGCTCATTACGTCTGTTATGTGATCCTTTTGTAAACAGAAGGATTATTTCTAAATAAGATTAGTGTGCATATAACATAAAACGATGTGTAATTCATTTCTAATTGTTATGATAAATTAGCTTAATCAAAATTAACCCATTACGTCTAGTAACCATTTTGAAAGCTAAGTTTATTAAATCAATGCATTATATATTTAATATATCGAAATTTACAATTATTATGCAGGAGATTTAATTTATTTTAAACGTATTTGTTATGTAATAAAATTTGTAATTGTGCAAAATTTCCTTAAATAAATTAGTTCAATAAAAAAATTGGTGCGATACATTGGTAGTAAATCATTATGTTAACAATCGAACTGAAAATTAAATAATCACAAACGAGTATTATCTGCAATTATTTATGCTTATCAATATTCCGATCAATTCTTGGGACTACATGCATAATTTTTTGGCTTTGTCTCAACAATTATCTTTTTCATTATCAATATTCTCTTTGTTTGGTTGCCTTGGTTGAAACATATATTAGTTTTTTCAAATAAATATCAAACACGGTCCACGATGGAAGACAAATTTTCTAAATAAATAACCCGTACTAAAATCACATACCTGAACATAATATCTAGTATTGTCAACCCTTTATCATAAAAACATGTACTGCTCAAATTGTAAATGTAATCATCCCGAAGATAAATTCGTTTAGAAAGTTGCTTGACATAAAACTTGTGGAAAACACAAAGATAACCATAATCAAAACTCTGGAAACAAATTGTTAGCTGCAACCACAAATTCAACTATTGAATCAGCCAAACACCCTGAAAATATTGACCATAACGCTATCATTATCCAGAAGGCAGACATTAATAATATTGTACACATCAAGATCGACTGCCTCGATGTAGGAGACCTTATTGAGCATAAAATCTAAGTTAATATTTGATGAGTCCGGCGCAGTCGATGCAGTATATCAGGCACATTTGCTTGTTAATGTAGATATAACTTCGGACATGACAGCCAAGGATGTTGCTGCTCTTATCATCACTGAAATTGAAGGTGGTGATAATTATTCATGGAAGTAAATATATTTTTTTTCCTTTTCTCTTTTTTTTTTTTTCCCTACGTGTGTAGTGCTTTTAGGCACTTAATTTATTGATTTTTTAATTCATGTATTATGAACACTTATTGTAGCTTTCATTATTCCGAAATGTCCAAAAAATTTGGCAACGAGGTTGGTAGGTTTGATTATATATGTTGTCAATCATATAAGGTGCAAAGAGTGTATAAAAATTCTAATTGTAAAAGAAGAATACGATACGACTGCAAAGTAAAAATTATAGTGAAAGTTGATATGGATCTTGATGTCTAGTGGTAGATATTTACCATAGGATTCTTCATCTGTGCCCAAATCTTAGTTCCTAAATGCCGATTGAATTGCGAGAGAAAATTGAAGCAAATGCATATCTTACTTTTGTGCAACTTACGACTCATTTACGATGCTGAGGGTTTGATATTTCTAAATATTTTCTAAAATGAATCTATTTTTGAAAATTCATGGTGGGTAAAAGCCTTTTTCAATGTCATAATAATCATGTAATGTTTGCACGTATCCTACTCGACGAGTATTATGACCAGGTTTAACATTGGTGTCTTGATATACCAGATTTAGAGGCCACTAAATTGCATTCACTACCCCTCTAATAAATAAAATTAGAAATCACAATATTGATGTTAGTGAAATTTATGTAGATGCGACATATAAAACTGCAAGTGTTAATTTTTTTTAATTATTTTTTTTAATTTTTTAATTATTTTTTTTTAATATCTTCTTGAGATACGACGAGGTCGACCACCAATTTTACGGGTCATGTGGATAATGTCATCATTACAAACAAATTAGTATTGGATCCATAGTGCTATCATGATAAAAATTTTGACCCTGTATTGCATCTTATACATATTGAACATTGGTGCCGCCACCACATGACCTATAAAATCAGTGGCCGCCTTGGTTGTGTTATATTTTTTTATATTCAACTTGAACTAACAAATTTTTTTTTAGAGCATTTTGAGTTGTATTGTATTATCGCGGATGTGGATGGAACCGGATTTCCAATCGCTTATCTAGTATTAGATATAACAAGAACAATAGATTCAGATGTAGATAAGCGCAGTGAAATTTTAAAAAATTTTTTAAGACTGTGAAAGCATATAGTATTAACCCACATTTTGTATTTACAAACAAGGATTTCGCGGAAATTAATACTGCAATGATGGTATGAAGGCCATCAGTAGTACAATTATGTGCTTGGCACATTAACTGGGCCCTAAAATTTAAACTTAAGGAGAAAACTAAATGATCAAGTAGTAATGGATTGTTAACTGTAAATTATAATGCTAATGTAGTATTAGAAGAATTCAGCTTTGTCAATCCAACTTTCTACCCAACCGAAGAAGATCAGAACATGCATACATATGTTATATGCTCACAAATACATCAAGAGGAAATTTTGAACCTGGTACAAAAACATTTTAGTCTACATCCATTTATACTAATTGACAACTGGAGAAATATTTTAATACCAGAAAGTATTAGATGGAGTGTGGTAAGGGAGATATACTAATTTTGCATTATGAATTCATTGTGGCTGTTGTGGGCTTACCTATGGACAAACTGATACTCTCCACGATGATGGCATCTGTGGGCACGATCGGCTAAATCAACCATTCCCTTAAGCAAGACTACGATGAAGATTGAGGATCATTGGAGTGTTATAAAACAACATTATTTACACCGCTTTAATCGACCTAGGTTAGATTTACTTCTCTGGACACTCTTTCAAGAAGTGGTTTCAGCTCAAAAAAAACAGCTTTCTTAGCTCTTAAATGGTATAGTAGAACCATAGTGGTGGAGTGATTTCAAAAGGAAATAGAACTATGCTGGTGCAAGTGAAGAACAAAAGGTAGAAATGCATAATAATAATAAGTTCAAAAAGAAGCGAAACATTAATACAAGAATAACAGAACCTGTTGTGTTATACTTTACCGATAGTACCTGTTGGGTCTGTAGTTGCTTTGCTTTTTTTAGTAGCTGCTATTTGCTATGTAAGCATTTAGTAAGGAAAATAGTAAATTTACCTAATGAAGATTGTCAACAATTGATAAGAAGTGACTTTGAATGGCATACAACACCACCATTCTTTAGAATAAAAAGGTCAGTACCCATGATTAACACCTTGTTTATATCATCTGCAATCCCGATCGAGACCCATGATTATGATGATACACTCATGAAATTCCTGAAGACGATGCTCGCACCTTTGTTGAGTCAAACTGGCCTTTATTTGAACATGCATTTAAACATGTCTGCATAGAAAAGTCAGCTAATAACTGGAATTATGTTCATGCAATTATGGAGTGTAGCAAATTATTGAAAATAGAAAAAGAAGTGCAAGTAGTGGAGCGAAAAAGGCATTGGCAAGAAACATGGGCACCAGAGAATAGAAAACCATACCTAATGTATCTATCATTCCTGGATGAAGTAAATAGCCATAACAAACTGATCTCAGTAGAAAGCACGATAATTGATCAAAGCAATGTGGAAATTATTGATTAACGCCTTTAATCTATTAATCTCTGCTAGATTTTTTATTTTTTTTGGTAATTTTATTCCTGTATTTGTAGCATATTTAGATATAATTAATAATGAATTAATAGTAAATTAATAATGAATGAATTAATAATGAATTAAAGAGATTTGTTTGCAATCTTTAAAGTTTATTGACCATTACATACCTATATAAAAAGAAATCGATAATTATTTTTTCTCTTGATAATCGATCATTCAATTTCACGTTCAAGCTTTCTCATTGGTCGGCTCAAATAATACTTGCAGCTGCGGCAGTGGCGTTTTATCATGTGACCCGTAAAATCGGTGGCTGCTCTGGTCATATCTGAGTGTTACTAAAATGAGTTTCATTATTACTTATTGAGTCTAGCATGTATGCTTTCAATGACGCATTGTATGTTGATGATAAATTCGTGTATAATTTTAACAATATACATTATTAAAGTTAACAAAATAGAAGCGCTTCTTACATAAAATCTGCGGGGATCAAGCGTAGCGTGCTAATAAACATACCAACTAACCAAATTCAAGACTTTGCTGACTGTTTGTTTATCCACTCCATTTTGCTACGTTCCTGGTACACAAAATCCGCAATTGTTTTGTAAAAGTAAAAAAAATATAATACTTTAACTTTATTATAAATAACAAAAAAACAATAGCTTTCGACTTAGGAATATCGGCATCGAACGCAAATATAACCATATAACGCTCCTGATACGTACGTTGTAAACGGGGAAAAGATTCACCAGGTCTGGATAATACAACTATTCACTACTAAAACCAACTAAACTACTCTAATAATAACACAACAACTAATAAAACCCAACCCTAATATTGGTAAGGCAACGATCGAGGTGTGGAAAGACTTGGCTGAGTAATCAGGGTTAATTGGGTTCCTGTATACAGAATCACGGGATTTGGTCACTAATTCCTATTGTAAAGGCAGATTTTACTTAGGCCATTTGAAGTTGATTCTTCGGTTAACGTAACCCCCCCTCCTCCTGGCCATCCCCCCAAAAACGAACAAGCCAATCACAATATTGTAATATTGTTATCCAATCATATCTCATCCAGTAATCGTCTTGTGATTGGCCTGTTTAATTTTTTTGTTTAATTTGTTTAATTTGTTATACCCCCCCCTGTCCGAGCTCAAAAGTTGACATTAACCGAAGAATCAACTTCAAATGGCCTTAACTTATAACGATCGCAAAATGGATTATAAATTGTTTTATTATAGGTATTTATAGTTATTTATATACAAATGATTTAAATATTGTATAAAAAATAGCGTTAAACTAGTATAATTATTTATAAAGTTTCAACAGAGTAGCTCTCTAGAGCTGAACGACATATTAGTAAATGTCATGCCAATTCGCGCTTTATACTGTAATATGCATATATAAATTTATGCTATTTAATAAATTTTCATCGGAAATAACATATTTTTAATTTATAAATAAAATATCAATTTTAAAAATTTAAAAATGACGTAGAATATATATTCAGGTCAAGCTTGATATAAGCGAAACTTTATTTATTTTGAAATTAGATGCTATGCTACTATTAAAAAAGACTATATAGTATATACTCAAGTTTCACTTGGCCTTGGGGTTACAAATGTCTCCACCAAATCAACAATAGGCATATCATCTTCATCGTCAGAATCAAGCAACTTATCAATATCTAAATATTTTTTGCTGATAATATCCAATGTATGTGTGATTATGGATTTCGCATATAAAATTTCTTTCAAAACGAACATGAGCGGATTAGACATTGTTAGACGACCAGAAACTTCACGGACTTTCCTGCGCTGAATACGTGTGACATACCCTTTAGGAAGATCAGCTGTTATGATTTGAATCCTGTTTGCACCGTGCAGAATTCCTACCGCTTGTAATTTTCTTGCGATGCTTTCTCTCATATTACATTCAGTGACAAGTTGATTTAGTATATCTTTAAGCATTTTAGATGCTTTTAGTGAGTCGGTCAAATATTTTGTACCAGCTTCACCCTCCCATTTACGCGCAGCCTCAATAATGCCGAACTCTAAACGATCCTTGTGCATTCTAAATACACCATCCCCTTTTCTACCAACTTTTTTCCAGGTATCTAACGATCTTTTGAGGTTTTTTCTATCACTAGACCAGGGTTGTCATTGGACTTATTCCAGTCTCTCATGAGTTACTGGACTGGACTGGACTGGATTTTGTATAATTCCAG